ACATCTGGTGAAAATTTCATGTCATCAGCACCTCTAGTAATATATTTACTGAGAAAAATGGTGACRTGTTCAATACTTATTTTACCCACTGTATATGCTAATCAAACAGGCACAAGTCACTTGTTTCAGTGATAGTCAAAGAAAGAGCAGCATGAGTCACTGAAACCTTCCAGACAAACAGACCTGTCTGGTTATTTATCAAAGCATGAGACACTTTTCAGTTAATTATTCACTAATTCAGGATCAGACAGTTGGCATATGGGAGAAGAACTCAAACATGGTCAAAAAATAATAAAAAAAAATGAATTTACACAAAAGAAAAAAATTGCTGCAAACTGTCTGCCAGTAAACATCTATGGACCACAGGTCACTTTTACTTTTTTATCTGCCTGAAGACAATGCAAGAAAAAAAAATCTGGTCAAAGCCTTTCAGCAACAAATGAAGAGTTATACAWTATAGTAAAACAAATAAGTAAATAAAATGTTTTCATGTGCTTTAAAGTGAAATAAAACAGGGCCAAAGATCACTGTCAATGTCTCTCAGGTAAGAATATAATATTGATAAAAGACTTTTATGTCTCTAAAATGTTTACTTCACTGCACTTCTCGTTTGCAAAATGAACAAACATGTTTTGCACAATTTACTGCTCTAATAACACGTCTTGGAATAGTTAGAGCTTCAATARACCTAAAACCATTTTTCTCATTTCAGTTATTTTTGTCACAGCTGGTTAGGATTTGATAATAAAAATACATTCATACACTGTCATAGTCTTGCCYGGTTTGGAGTGTTCCTATGTTTTGAACATGTTAACAGACTTAATTATTATGAATATTAGTTAAACTGGTCTGAGGTCACAATCTATAGAGGCTATAAGGAGGAATCACATAAATTTATAAACACTTTCCAGCAGTAAGGAGAATATTTCCCATTACCACAGCAAGAGAAAAGGAGTGCCAACATGAGAGTAAAGAAATTCCTGAAGTGTGGCTCTGTGGTGGAGTGAAACAGATGGAATATTGTGGTCACCAGTTGTAAATGTAGAAAAAAAAAGATTGTGGTTTTCAAAGCTGCAGTATAAAGAAATTACAAAACAGCTGCGGTGCTTTTTATTGCCTGTGTACCAGACTGAATCTG